GGGCGGGGCAGCGGCGGCGGCGGCGGCCGCGGCGCTGCGGGGGCGGCTGGGGCTGGCGGAGTTGCCGGCGCTGGTGGCGTTCAGGGGGGGCGCGGTGGTCGGGCGCGCGCCGGTGGCGCAGTTTGGGGGCGGCGCTGACGTCATTGAAGAGGAGGTGGGCGCTGCGCCAGCGGTGTCGAGGGGCGCAGGGGCGGAAAGGCGGAGGGGCTGCCTGGCGGCACCTGTTTCTCATAGCAGGGATGTTTTGGAAAGTTGTGGGGGCCTTGGGTGGCGGCGCCGGTGCAGCTGCTGAGGCGCTGGGACCTGCGGCGTGCTGGTTTTGCCTCGTCTGCCACATGCACGTGTTGATGTGGTGGTGATATGACGTATGTGGGCCGCAACCGCCCACACCACAGGTCTTCGGTTACTTGCAGCGGCTCCACATGTTGTCGGAAGGCAAGGGGACCGGCGGCGGCGGGCGCGCGGAAGACGGCACCGGCAGCGACAGCGACGTGAGCAGGCCCCAGTGCACTGGTTGACCACGCCGCGGGGCCTGTGCGGTGAATTGGCCACCGATCAGCAGCCTTGGGCGCCGCGTGTGCTCGGGCGAGTCACGTCCCTTGCGCCCTTCCCGGTCCGCATGGCCTGTCATCAGTCCTGGCCTTGCGCCGCCAACCAAGCCCCCAAACGGCCCCACACGAATGTTTCTTTGCCCCGCGCCGCTCTGCAGGCCCGCAGCAGCGACGAGGATGGGACTGCAGCGGCCTGCGAGCTGTGCGGCCGCTCTTACCCTCATGAGCATGTTCGCGCCATGTACCGCGGCGGGGGCGGCGGCGGGGGCGGCAGCGACGGGGACGACAGCGGCTCAGAGGAGGAGAGATGACTGATGTGCACTCCCGCGGGGACGACTTCAAGGGATTCTGAGCGCCCCTTGTATCTCTTCTGTGTACGTGTACTCAGCTTGCAATCAGTCACACCAGCAGCGATCGGAGCCCCTTTCAGAATCTTCACCAGCAAGCAATTTTCTCCTGTATCTCTTAGTGTACGAGACACATCTGAGCCACAACACCTGCCCTGCCCCCCTTGAATTTACCTTGCCTACTCATTAAGGCCTGATTATGGCCCCACGCGTGGTGTTCTGAGCCCCTGTGAGTTACCTGTTGTGTGTGTTTCAAGTGCCAGCAGCTACAGGGGGGTTGGGGAAGCGCGGGCACAGCGCAGCCTGCCAGCGTGGTGGCAGGTGCTGCTTCTCGTGTCCACCTTTCGCCACGTTCCAGAGCTTTGAAGGCAAGAAAACCTCCGCAGCAGCCACCGACAGGCCAACTTGACAGCGCGCTAAGCGTAGCCATGCGCTGGCCACAACTCTGTGCAGTTTTCCCACGTCTGATCCTCCGGGATGTTGGTTCCATCAGTGCTTCGACTCCCAAAGCGGCCGCTGTGTACATCGGCTGGGTTCACCATCTGGGCAGCGTGCTCTTCGCCGTTCCAGTGGTAGTGAAGCGTGCCTAGTCTACTTACTAAGCTAGCAGCCCAGTCATGGCATCCAACCATTGGAACCGCGCAGTGTTACTTGAAGGCAATGGCCCGCTCAAACACATGTTTGCCGGATGGCCCATGGTACACAGCACGGGTCTGCCTCTGGACCCGTCGGCCGTGGTGGGGCGGGTGTCTACCGCTATTAGAGCTTCGCAAGGTTGCACACCCTTTCTTGGCTTGCGTGCTGGCAATGGAGGCCAGCATGGGGGCCGACTCCATGCAAATTCGCAGGGCCCGCAGCACACCCTGGGCTCGAGGCAATGTCGCTGTGCGGGGGCCAAGCGTAACCTCTGCATGATGACTGTTCGCTTCTGGCAGGTTGGGATGAGGCCGTGCGCTGCGATTCGTTTGCGCGCATTGCGCGAGGGCGGGGCCGTTTTGCAGAGGCTGCGAGGCTCGGGAAAGAGGTCGGGTGTACTCCCACATGCGGGTGCTTTCCCCCCTTAGCATGACGAACTCCTTTAAGCACATCAGCCGATCCGACAACCCCGCTCATGCCCACGCCCTCATGCGGCAAAGGGGGGGGGGCAAGGGGAGGCAGGGCCGGCTGGCGTCCTTGGTGCCGAACAAGCGTCCAAGTGCGTAAGTCAGCGTGCTACAAGGCAGCACGCGAATCCCGCAGCTCGTGCCGTGATCATCGGTGCACGCAACTCTCCACCCAGGTACCCGTGCAGCTTGGGTGCGCTCTCAGAAAGGTGTCGTGGACTCTGATTGACCGCCGCGTGAGTGGGCGCATCAGGACACACAATGGCTATCCAGTCTGCGTTGAAATGTCATCTCAATTCATAAGCTGTTACAGAGAATTTCCGCTACGATGGGAGCGGTGTTCATAAGTTCAGGTGTGCTGAGACACTGCTGGACGTGTTGGGTGACGCCTGCCGACACCAAATTGCTCGAGCACTGCTTCCATGGCTAGTTGTGTAAGAATGCGCAGATATCTCGTTTGAAAAACGCGCACGTAAGCCTACAAGTCGCGACAGGAGATGCGGTAGCTTAGATCATCCTGAGACACCACGCGGTGCAGTGTCTTCTTACCTCAGGCCTCGGCGACGCGTTCTCAGCGGCTGCCGAGCGCATTACGAACACCTGCGTCCCTCCAAGCCGCCCTCACACCCAATCGTCAGCAACTGCAGCGGTCGCGCGCATGGCGGACGACGCCGAGCACGCGGACGTGCTGCAGCAGTTCCTGTCGATCACGGGCAGCGACGAGGGCGTCGCGCTCAACGTACTTGAGAACACCGACTGGCGGCTTGAGGACGCCGTGAACCTCTTCTTTGCGACC